ATCGCTATGCAATGCACCGCTGCCGTCCCGGAGACTCTTGCCATATTGCGCTTTAACCGCTTTGCGCCGCGTTCCGACGCGGACGACGACGAGTCGTCTAACTCGGTCGACGCGAGGCTGTTGCGTAAACTCGCGACGCGACGGTGAGTCGAGAGCCATCGCTTGCTATAATGGCTCTCTCCGGCAAATCCTCTCATCCAGAGGACGGACGCATTATTGAAACGTCAGACCGCGAAGCTTTTATCCGACCGCCACAGGCTTTCTCGCCCTTCGTATTAACTCCGAAGTATTATCGCCCGGCGCAAAAAGAACGCGAGGATAGAGCCCCGTCAGCAAGTAAAAGCTGCTCGATTTTTCGCCCCCGCAAACGCCCGCCACGCCCGTTCCGTTCCGTGTAAGGGTGTAATCAACGTGTAAGCAATTATCCCCGGGGGTTCCGTGCGTCCGTACGTTTAGACCGAATTTAATGGCCCGCGAACGCGCGCACGGGCATTTTTGCGAAGGAAACTCCATTTCCACTCAGAAACTCGGCGGTAGCTCCCGACCGGCGAAATGTTTATGCGAATGTCACGGTATTTGGCGAAGCTGTTTCCATCGTGCTTGAAATTTATGTCTATACGTCTCAAGCCACGAGCGAGACCGATACGATCGTGGTATTTAAGTTTCGTGTTTTATCAATTAGAATGATACGGAGGCGCAACTGAAAGCAACGCGCGATCAGACGTACTGAATATATATTTATATCGCGTACTTCTCCGCTTCCCGTCCCGCCCGGCTAGCTATCGAAGTTCAATATTTAGACGGACAACATCAATGTAGCAACGCCGACAGACGACAAACGATAATTTAATGCTTTTTAGGATGCTTTATGGAGGCCGAACAATATTGCCACTGTATCCCATCCTGTACCTGCCGCTTCTCTTCTCCTCCTCTCCCGCCACGCTCGCACTTGTATGAATAATTTATGTTCCTACACACACACCCGGTACCCGAGTTCGGTCAACACGACGCTCGCATAACCATGTTTCCGGCTGCGTATCAATTTTGCCGCGACAAGGCAGGAAGACAATTAAGATAGTGCGCCGTTAGATAACAACTGTGTTCCCCTTCAAGAGTCTCGAGAGCCACGGTCTCGATTTTCCGTGCCCGAGGTTGTGGAAAAAAGAAGAAAAAAAAGAAAAAAATTCGCAAATTAATTCCCTCGATGTCGACAAGCACCTTTGACTCGAGTGTTTCATTTTCTTTCCGGATGACCGCTATCGAAGCTATCGCTGTAAACCGCGCTATCGACTGAAACGGAGCGGATTAGATTTCTGATCGAGCGCAAATTTACAATCGCGCCGAAACGAGCGGCGACCGAATGATTCGGCGATGTTTGAGTTGTCCGAAATTAAACCTTTATTTAAGTACCGCGAGTGGAGCTTCAAGCAAAATGATACCCGACCGATCCCGGATCGCTTAGCGGACAAACAGAAATTGTTTCGGGCAAACTGAAATCGGGGCTCGCTGCAAAATTGCGCGGTGCACAGTTATGGCGATCTGAAACATCTCGTTCGTTGTTCATTTATCTACGATGTCTTAAAGGATGTCAAAATATACAAAATTTTGAGTAGGGAAAGATTGGAGAAGCTCGTATTCATTGCCCACACACATTTAACATTTAACAATATAAATATAAATTAAACATTAACATTAAATTACGTTCAATTAAACGCGTTAAATTGTGTTAAAAGAAAGCCATTTTACAGTGATCGTATATTTCCTGTTTTCTTTGTTACGTTCTTTCCTTAATCCTTAATGATCAGCATTAACTTCCAGGATTGACGATAACTATCCGATCACTACTTCTTTCATTTCTTTTTCTACTTCTTCCATTTCGCAGAGGCACAAGCGCGAGCGCGAGGACAGCAGTAAAGCTTTACGAGCGCGCGTAACGAAAGAAGTCGTTTCTGGAGCGAAAAAAATTTGCAGAAGCGGGAAGAAAAGCGAAAAAATATTAATGCAACGTCGAAGCGATTATCGTAACACGCTGTCTCACTCAGCTTATATAACGTTGGCGAGAGATGAGAGCAAAGTCGGACACGAGAATTGAAACGAGCCACTTCGCTCTATGGACGTGGAAATGGCTGTTTCTTCATGACGCAAAGAAACGTACTAATCGCCGTCGGAGATCCCATTCGGCTAACATTCGAGCAACTCATTATCATTAATTTGAATATCGGCGAAGTTCGTTTACGGAGGCCGCGAACCGTCCGAAAAAAAAAATTTTTTACGGGAAATTTTAACAACGCCGGTTAGCTCTAATCTCGGTTTATTACGCATGCATACTACTCTCTGGATTTGAAAAGAAAATAGTTTAATCCTAATAAGATGTTACTTTTCATTGCCCAGAAAACTGATAGATATATTTTTACAGTAATTTAATTATTGGTCGATTTGATCTTAATCCTAAATTAGAAGCATGTAATGAGTGAAAATGAGGAAAAATTAAAACAAAAAGAATAAGCGATTGCAGCATTTTAAATATAAGATATTATTCTTGGACGTTGATTAATTAACGGTCCGATAGAATGCTATTATTAATTATAAGGCTATAGTATTAACTCCAATTGTGATTTATCTCATCGCTATTAAAATTAAACTCTATTTTGAAATTGCTGAATTTATTAATAACATCAAAGGCGCTTAAGTAATTCAAAAATTAAAATACGCATTTTTGATACATGATAATATATAGCCGCACTGGTAAATGAGATCTAAGCGGTCGTAAATTGCCGTCATCCGATTGACTGACTTCGTTCTGCGAACAACTTATTCGTGTGAGGATTTAGCCGCCCGGTGATTGAGAACAATCGAGGGTTATACGTCGATCAAAGAAACGTGGTCACGTGGTGGTGAAGCCGTACGACCAAAAAGAAATCCAAGTCGGTTCAAAAGAAGACCCCAACATGCCTCCCGTCCTTCTCCCAATTATCCAAGCGCAATTTGATCCTCCTCGCCATCAATCCAAGACGCGTCGCACTTAATAAAAATCATCCGTCCACTAATTGCGCACTCGCGGAGAAATTGAGAAAAAAAACCGCGTGAAAGTATCAATCAAAATTCCCCAAAAGTTTTACGCTTCTGTTTCTTAAAATAACACGATAATCGCAAAGACTCTAAGAGCAGTCTCTTTTCATTAGTTAAATACTTTCGGAAATATGCATATCAATCTTTCATGCGAGGCACGTGGTAACCGTTAATTAATTTTCCGATAGGTCAGCGCGCTTCGCGTTTTCTTTCCTCGCTCCGTGGATTAAACTCCTCCGTTTTCCAGTATACGCCGCAGTTCATCAAGCGAGTTAACGAAGCTCGAGGCAGGCGGAATTTCGCAGACCGAAAAACGTCGCGTCGACCCGTACCTCTCCTCTCTCGGCCAAGTTTTCATAAATTCCGAGAAATTGTCGAGGGAATTCGAAGCGACCTGAGTATGTGCCTAATAGATACCTCTCCCCGTTCGTCGCTGGTTCGTAGATAATTGTCGATACCGTAAGCCGCTTCTCCGACTCACTTTTGGCACATGTGTCGCACACGAGAGTGTGAAGGGGGAGAAAAAAAAGAGCACGGATCGACAGAGAGAAATTGCGGTGCGCCAGGCGTCTGGTCGTCGAATGCGAATCCGCATCGCGGGCAGGAGTGGCAAGACGGCGCGGCGCAGCGCGGCGCGGCGCGACGGGGTGGAGTGACTGTGCAGGATCGGAGTAGAAAGATGAATTATGCCGCGGGAGGATGCATGAGACGCGCGAACGACGAATGGCGCGGCGGGCATCGAAGGAAGCGAAAAAGCGTGCGAAACGAACGGATAGAGGGATGACCGATTCCACCGGCCGCCTCGATCGACGTTGAAATAAATTTAAGGCCGATTCGCTGACCATCGATTCCGCGTTGCGACGAGCATATGCGCGAAAAATATGCTGCGGCAGCATGGTGCGGCTGCCACGAGCGCGTGTGCACGCGACACATTGATTTGATAGATGTTATCGAAGGTTATATACTCGCCGCGGAAGAAATGTATTCTCAAATAAACAAAATAAATAAATAAAATCGATGCTGTTTCTGTAGTCTTAATTAATTGTTATTTATTTGTCTCTCTTATTTGTATTAATTAATAAATAAATTGTTATTAATTTATTAATTTAATTATCTCTCTAATTAATTATCACTTATTTAATTCTTTTATATTTGTATTTACTTATTAATTAATTGCTATTAAGTTATTAATTGTAATTTAATTATCTCTCCGTTATTGAAGACGTTCATAACGATCAGGGAGTGAGCCGATACTTCACAGCCCTCCGATCGGTTATCGGAATTCCAACGTAATGAGACAATTATCCCGTCAATTAAAAGCAAATCAGACGTCGTGGAAAATATTATTTTATGCGAAACTTCTCTCTGTCGGATCGAACACCAGTACTTTTCACACCAGACATTTTAAAGACGACATCGTAATGAACCAACAAAATTATTCGAAAAAAAAGTAACACAAACGCGCATGGCCCATTAATCCCACTAATGAAACTTGTATCGCAGTAATGCGGAAAGTAATAACTGTAAATGGTATGTGCGTAAAAGGATAAGCGAGTGGTCGAAGAGGCCGTGAAAGGGGGCGTAGAAGGAAATAGGACCGAATCGATCCGATGTAGCCGAGCGAGGGTGGGATTTATTACGTTCTCCTATTCCGCGCTTCTGGAACAATCAGCGGACGCCACAAAGGAGGCCGTCGCGACGAACTTAATTCAAGGATAATTGATTAAGGAACGGCCGGGAACCGGGCGGCGGACCAAATTTTCGATTTCAATTAAAGCGCGCATATCTTACATCCAATTAATCAGGGCAGCCTCGCTCGACGACAGTCGAACACGCATATCGCCGAGATCGTGCTTTCCCAGCGAGTCGTCGACAACCATGCAGCTTGACCGGAATCGAAAACAAGATTTAACAAAAACTAATTGACTCACCGGTGACCGGAGCCTCGATGTCTATCATAGTCTTCTCCGAGCGTAGAAGGGCGGCTCCATCGTTAATTATACGAAGAGCCGCGGCCTCGTCGATCCTACCTTCGAGGATAAAGTGTTGCTTCAGGACCTCCGGCCGTGGAGATCCTGTTCGTTCGTCGAAGACTTCTGCCACTGTCATTTTGTGCGACGGTGGAAACGGGACATCTGTTGACAAAACGAACGGTCTATGTTAAGAAGGATGTCTTATACATACAAATGTAAATATACAAATAAGCAAAATATCCTGAAGCTATACAATACTGTTTTTTTTTTAATAAAAAAATTGTTAAATGTACCGAGTCTCGCGTAATATTACGCGATATCGCTTGAAAAGTGTTTTTTTAAAGCACTTTGTGAATTTCTCTTTGTCGCGTAAGCCTTTGCATAAGAGCAGCAGATTATCTCCCGATCTTGCATGGTAATGGCATTAATTACAGCGGAGCCGCTCGCCGTAATCCCACGTGACAATTAAGTGTCCTTTTTTACGAGATACAAGCGGCGCTACAAAGCGATTCGTCGGATAAATCGGCGCGACACACCGTGCCTAAATATTGATCGAACGACTTTGCGCGCAAAACAAAGCGCTATATACTCCCCTCTTCGTAAGAATTAATGAGTATGTACACGTTACACGAAGGAGCAAATGCTAAGACGCATAATCTCCTTCATGTTTTTCCTTCGTGTTTCGTGCCCGCGCAGGTACCCGTGATTTACAGTCTCGAGTCTTCCCGTGCTCGCTTTAAATCGCGGCCCTGGCGTTCGCCAAGAATTACGCAGCGGACCAGAATCGCGCATTTTCATTTTCTCGCTGCGTGGCGGTGTGAAATACGTTCTCTGGTGCATGCTCCATTTGCTCCACTTTCCACTCGCGTTTTCGCGATATGTCGCGGAAAAGCACGAGTGAAATCCAGCGAGCCAGAGATACGATAAAAATATATTCGTGCATTTAATCTCGAGTATAATTATACGAGATGATGATTGCGCAATGCGTTTACCATTCGTTTATGATGTTCAAGACGATTACGCAACGTAAAATCATTAATTAATCGCGCCTATCGCGCATACACACTGCGCAGGCGAGGTATATAGAGAAGGAGCAGCTGAGAAAACAATAGACGTGAAAAAAAATCGGATTTTCCGTCCATCCCGAACTGCCTCGCGGCATGTAAAACAGTTAAAAAACAATTATATTACGTTTGAACGAAGTTTTAATCGCGAAATACTTCGAGTCATGTCTTTGGTGTAAGTGCTCGCTAAAGTCAATTACAAATTACCATTTCGCCTCACCGTTTTTCTTTCTCTTTATTTTTTTCTGTTATTTTGAACGTACCTTACCTCATCTATGTCAGCTCGTGTTAAAACAACCGCGTGATAAATAAAAATTAGATATTTCAATTCGCGCGCGAATCGATATAACGATTTACGAGAGAATAGGTAACAGGTGGGCGACAACGGGGGTACCGCCGCGGACAATATCTCGCGACGTCGGTCGGTCGGGCCGATGCAAAAACGTATGGCACTCAAGGTTGGAATCGTTGTTATTGCTACGCGGCACGCCACGATCATCGATCGACCATTTCCCGCCAAGGTGAAACGCGTTACCTGATCTGAGTCTATCAGGAGGTATCTGGACCTGTCTCTTTTTCCTGGACGTCACGAAGCGCAGTTTAAGGATCGGGCTTCTCTCTTCTAGAACGTCCGTTGACATTATCGCACTTTCTTGCACCGGCGAACTCGTTCTCACGTCCGCGCGGTCCTGATTCCTCTCCTTCGATTTTTTCGACCGTTGAGGCGATCGGCACAGCGCCGATATGTTTACGATCTTTCTTGATAAATTACTCAGAAAGCAACCGCCTTCCTGCTCCTTGGCCATCATTTGCTCTACGTAATTCTGCGCCAATTCGACGTTACGGCTGTATAGATCGTCGAACGTGTCATTTTCGAACACCTCGCCGTCCCCAATAAAGCTCGGCTTGCCGGACGAGGTCGCCGAGTGATCGGCTATGCGAGTCGATTTCGCATTCATAGGATTACGAGCTCCCTTTGTCGTCGGTTCTGCGAAACCGACGATCGCGTTCTCTCGGCACGGGCGGTCGCTTTGTTTCGTCTCTCGCGGCGGAAGCTGATCGATCGAACTGTCGGACGTCACCTTCGACGACGAACCGTCGTTGTCCGAGTCGACGTTGTTCGACTCCATGGTCGAGTAATCGGATGTCAACTCGTCCTTCGTCTTGTCCTTCGCCGAGATTTCGTCGCGGTCGACAATCCGCGGTTTCTCCGCATCCATCCTCGTGTATTTCGTGGGCGAAAATCGCGCTGGCGGATCTTCACGGATGTCTTCTCTTCTCTCAGGGATGCTTTCCAGGTTCGTCAGGGTCGTGTCCGCCTTCGTAGGCGTCGCAGACGCGCGTGGAGATCCCGGCGAGGACAAGTTGAGCATGTCTATTTGCCTGACCAACGATTCGTCGCACGGTGACGTTCTCGACGTGCTCTCGTTGGCCAACATCGTTTTCAGCACGGCCGTGCAGAACGGAGAATCCCTCGGAGAACGATGGTCCATCTGTCTCCACTGTAGGAACCTCTTGGATCCGGATGACGGCGTGAAGTAGCACGACTTTTCAGCTTCCTTCTGAACAATGTCGCTACATTCACTCGGCGTCAGGCACGTGTTCAGCAACGAATCGCTCGCGGTAGTGAAAGACGCGTTCTCAGGAGACGAATATGGTATACGAATATCCTGCTCTTCGTCGGACATGTTGAACACTGAGCGAAAGCTCTTGTCAGGCGCGTATCGCGTTGGTAGAAATCGATTCTCGAACGAAAAGCTGAGCTTGCTGGCCATTCGCGTTGCGACATTGAAATCGCAGAAATCCACCTAATTGGACAGCATAATCGATACAATCGATATGCCCGCTTGTGCCAGGAGATGGCGACATATCCTGAAGCGCCCGAAACGCGCCTCGACACAAAACGCGACTGTCTTTCTTGTCAGTTATCTTGATATTGAACGCGAAAATCCGTCGAGCAAGGTTCATATATATTCTTTCGAAAAAAGATTATTGATAGGTAACTTGTGTTGGATTTTCGCGTCTGTTGTAGTTTAACTGCGTCAAATTTGCGCGGTAGTATAGAAACGCGGAGTACGAATAGATTCCACTGCGAAAGTACTACTTGATTTAGAGAGAACTAAAGATTATTGTCTCCTTAATGCGTCCTTATCGCTCGGTGGCTCGGTACCGACTTAGCAAAGAGCGTCGTTGCCATAGCCCATAAAAACGCCGCGACATTAGCAAACAACAGAATGCTAACATAAATAAAGTCACAAGCAACGAAAATTCAAAACGGATATGAATTATAACGTTGTGTAAGTGGGAATATTAAGCAAAGGTTTAAAATTATTTCACTAATTTCATTAAGCTTTTCCTTATTTCAGTTATGTGTTTTAGAATCAATAAACAAAATATATAAAATGTTAATAGAATATCGGTTATAAAATTCCAATAATTAAAACGCTCCCAAGCATTTTAACTATTTATAATAGATGTTAATGTCGAATATGCATGATAAATAAATGGAATTCTAACATCAAATAATAGATATTAATTTACGAATCATAGATAGAAAACAAGAATCTTAAAATGTTAATATGATTTAATATATATATTAAGATATCTCTTCAAACATCATTTTTGGAAGGAAAAAAAAAAAAAAAAAAAAAAAAAAAAAAAAAAAAAAAAGTTATTAGAATATAAAGAAAATTCGTAAATTTAATATTATCAATTTATTACTGTAAAACACCTTCTATACATTTGCCTAAAAATCTGGCCTTTAATTGTGCAATTATTAGATTTAATAAAATTTGATATAATATATCGCGTTATATGATAAGAAACTTTACATTATTTCAAACTGAACAATTAATATGCCAACATGCAGCGCTCTAATATCAAATGATCTGATTGATTAAAAGTAATTGATTCATTATTATAATAATTATGTATCAAACACACATTTTTCAAAATTAAAAATTAAATTCACAAAAGAAAATGAGAGATAACGACGTCCGCTATTGCCAATTTTCGTGATTTTCGCTGATTCATTATTCCTCGTTTCACGTGTATCAATGACAAATCTCCGCTTACTCTTCATCGGATCCCATAAATTCACTAAAAGCGCTATCTTTGGAATCCCTTCGTGATTCTTCAGATAAAGTAGCCCTTCGATTCCTATTGGAGACCATCAGTAAGAAGTGCACCTCGGACACGTAGATCTTATCCTATACATATTTATTATTTTGTCATTTGCTTCCTTTTTCGATTATAATTAACGACGGTATCTTTTTTTACCTCGTAACGTGAAGAATCCACGATTGGCTCGCCATCCGGATCGGCGATTTCTTGCCAACCCGACATAGATTCTTGCCCGATCTGACACAACGAGGGCTCGATCTCTTTCATCGTCCTCGATTGCGGATCTTCGCGATCCTCCGCGCTGCCTCTTTTATAAGCACTGACAAACGGTTTCGGACTTGAGAAGCATATATCCAAATGTTCTTTAGCCATGACAGGAACTGCGAAATTCTCGTTACCGTCGCAACAATAACCGGGCGATGAAATGCAATTCATCGGCAAGCCGCTGGACGAGTCCTGAGAGGTTATCAAGCTCGGCATGTTCATCATTCGCACAATCTTGTCGATCGCGGGACTTACGTTATTGCGATATTTCGGCAGTGTATAATCCATTTTTGAAACGCACGACGAAGTGGACGTTTGCGAGTCGTTATCCTGCGGCTGTTCATTCTCGTTCTCCTCATTCTCGTTCTCCTCATTCTCCGATTCACATTCGAGTATGTCATTGCTCGAATTCTCGTACATGAATACCGCCTCCGAAGCTGTCAGTGCCGCACAAGACGACGAGTTGGATTCCAAAAAACGATTAGCCGGACGATGATAGTCATCCATTGCGAACGAAAAATTGTACGATGAAAATATTTTTCAAAAATCTCAAGATTTGATCAACGTAATCCTGGGTCAAATACCACATTTTTATTAATCATGTTGATCGAATGTATTATATGGAGACGGTAAGTATTGTAATATCTGTTTGCCTCACCTTAAATCGTAGACGAACCAACCTGAACGTTAAAAGTTTCCAAATTTACTCTTCGTTTTATAAGACTTGAATACTACATAAATGTCCTTATGCGGTATTTATAGTTACAGCAGTATTGTTAAAGGGCAAAGATGTCGTGTACTAACTAAATAAAGAAGATATACCAGATTTACCTATTGCCATCTGGTTTGACCTACCGTTCTCGAAAATGATCGCGATTGGTCGATTCCCTAACTGTTTATTACTTAAATTCTTTCGTACGTTTTCGGTCTCGCTGTTTCATTAGACCGGAGACACATAAAAAAATTGAAGCAATAAACGGGACAACTAAAAAAATTCTCAAGAAATATAAAGATTAAATCGAGAAAAATGCTCGGCTGTAATTGGACGAATTGCTTACTTTGTTTAAATTTTCTTAGGGTAAACTCGGGTAAAAGATGGCTATACAGGAAAGATGGCCAACTTATGTTCTTTCAACCTAGCTCCCCATGAAACATCGAATGAATATGGGTTGGCCATCTTACCCGAGTTTACCCTATGTATTTCGTGCTCTTAAAATAAGACAACTGACATCTTCGCGTTTGATACGAAAAATGGCATCGCAATAATGTTAATATAAAATAAGAAACGCATAAGGAAAGACATAAGATGGATGAAAATAAATTATACAACATGATTAAATTGCCGTATGAATCATACTGGATTATATATATTAAAATAAAGCAATACATGCTTTCACAAGATGTAATAAAAATAATTTGCCCTTTGTAACCGGTCTTTTAAAGTAGTAAGGAGTTAGTTAAAATAACAAAGATTCGGCCTCGGTGAAACGCATACTCCCTCGTCTTCGCCAACCGAAGGTTGGCAGCAGTCGGGAGAAAAAACCTACGATTATTTCACAACTTGGAGACTTTGCAACCAGACATTCATCAGAATACAATCTAAAAATTGATCAAAAGATCTAAGAATCGCCAAGCATTGAATAGAGGAGTTCGATTATTCAATCCAATTCCTTTATTTGAATGTCTATTTTCCATAACATCTCGATCCTTTGATCTACTCTCGGTATTCGTTCGTGAATGAAAAGCTCAGTTCTTTCTCGCTATAAACACACTCGTCATACAGTCCTCGTTGTGTGCACCCAGCGAAAACTGATGGCACGATAGAAAATAAAATTCTTGCGAGCGCAATCCATCTCGGAAGCAGCTAAGTTCCATTTACTTCCTCAATATTGATGAACCGCCTGTATTTGAATAACTGATTCACCGGTGTTATTGTGTGATGCTTCCAGTTTTAAAGTCCACCGTAACGTTAAAGATAATTTATTCTCTCGATATAGTATTCACCGTATCAAATAATAATTTTTTTTTTATTGTCTACTGTAAACGTGTTTGTCACTGAATTTAGAATTTTCTACAACTGGAGAGGTCTTTTTTTGTAAGATCGTCTCGAAGAATAAAGAGAGTAATTGCGTTTCAAAAGCTTATCTATTCAGATAGGATGCAAAGCGTGTTCCTTAACTCGTCTTAACGTTTCACCGCAAAGTTTATCGGCTGCACGCGGTTGCGCGATTCCAGCGGGATGTAAGCGGATGCGGAACTGCACCGAGGAAGAAGTATAAGTACATTGCGAGATTGGAGGACAAAGCAAGAAACTCTACACCGTAAAGCGGTAACCACTTTTTCGAGACCTTTGATCTCCCCCACGGTATCGGCGGCATTACGCTCGAAATTAAGCGGAAGAGCGATATATTCCTCGCGGTTCGAACACAACAACTAATTTGAATATTCAATCTAGGGAAAAGCTCGGGTAACCGATAGTTCCGAAAGTCGATACCTGGTAACTCGGTCGCCGCGAAAACTGTGGGGAAACGTTCAATCAAGTCTTATACCAATGTATATACGTATCTACGTATAACGGACGATGCTTTTACGTCGCGTATCTGCGGGAGGATAGCGATCAACGTGGGCGAGACGTATGGACGTACGGCCGCAAGGATATTAATTACGTGCCCTAAATTACTCGAGTTCTCCCTCCCAAATAATGTCGCCGCGAACTGCTTTAATATCGTATAACAACGCGCTCCATAGTACTAGTCTTGATACTGGATATTAAAGTGAGAACATAATCGACTTCAGTGCATTGTTTCACATATGCGCGACTATATCTGTGCCACGTGGTCGAAGAAAGTCTCTCACCTAAAAGTTGCTGCGTTCATCATTGCTATTTAAGCAAATTGCTCGACAATCTTTAATCCCATATGTTTCGTACGACGATATTACAATCAATATCATCATGTAAAAGAAGCTTTTCATTATTATTTAGCTTTTCGTTACTCGTATTCTCGAAGACGGCAATAATTCTTTCCTCGTTTCACTGCAAAATAACAATAAGGCCACAATGTAAAAATCAAAACATCGCATTTGCACGTTATTTACCATCGTTTTCTCAGAAATGAGAGAAATATTCGATTGCTTACTTCTTTTCGATAAATCATCGTGCTGAATATATTTTTAATGTCGATTAGCCTCACCAAAGATGTAATAATTTTCACGATTCGAGAGAGAGAGCGAGTCAGGTGTGATTGCCTTGTGCCATGTCTGACACAGAGTGATAGAGAAGAAGGGAAACTGCGTCTCTCACGCAAACAAAACAGGAAACGGCGAAACGGTTATGTTTATTTGCGCGAATATTTCGAATGTACCGTGAACGATATATTACTTACGGCTGAGTAATTACATTCGATGTTATTGTCGTAATTATAAACTCGACTGTTGTATGACAACTATAAGCCTCTAACAAGCAATTTGCCGTCAATGCAAAATGGTATAAAATGATAGCGTCGACCATTTGCGCAAACATTCGGAGCGAAATGAAAATATGAAAGCTTTCTGCCATTTTGTAAATTAACGGAGAATTACTACGCTCGAGGAGAGAACTTCCAATTAATGACTGTTTTGCATATAACGTTCCTATCCAAACCGCCAAGTATTTCGATATATTAAAAAAAAATATCGCGAATAACGGGCAATTGATACACATTCGTGCGTTTAAATTTTTAATTGAACGCAAAATTGGAGGAGGAAATTACTAGAGCACCTTGTTTTCTCTCGTCAGATCGAAACGCAGCGCGCAAACAGTTTACGTAGAATTTCCGCAAAGTGGAATACCAAAGCTCGTTTGATGAGAACGAGTGTTGAGCGTAACCCGTCGACCGATGACGCGACGATCGCGTAATCCTTTCAGAATCTCATTAGGTCGTGAACAACGCACGATTAGCCCGATGTTTATTGTCATTCCGCGTTACATCGAAAATGACTGCAATAATTCTTGCGCATCTAAATTATTGATAAAAAAATCCGCTTTAGAAAAGAAATATTCTTCCTCTCCAAAGTGAATATCTATTAAATGAAAAAATAAGCAAGATCTCTCGCAGGCACGAAGTTCCTTGCTCTACTTCCGAAGAACGGCTGCGCAACTTTTTTACGGTTTTGCAACTTTGATCGCAAAGATATGTGAAAAGTATACTTCGTATCTCTAGTTTTGAAGAATAAAAGCAATTAAAAAAATTTGACAAATTATAAAAGCAATTAGATTATAGGTAGTGTAGAGTTCATAAAGATTGAGCGGAAGAGTCTTCGCATTAAGGCCTGATTCACGCGCAAGCTGTAATTATTAGATTCCCATGAGTTGGATGCAAACGAGGAATCTACCAATTACAGCAAGCAATCTTCGCAGATTGAAATCTACCAATCACGAGACGATAGATACTCCCCGCGCGACGTTTCCGATGACAATGTGAGAACTGTTCGCCCTGAATTTTCCATACACTATCGGCCCTGTCGCCCGCGTGATTGGCAATTTGATTTTGTCCAGAATAGCGCCTAATGTAAACACGGTGAAGAGTCCTTTCTACGTTCCGTGTTTACGCCACGGATACGTACGTCATTTGGTTATATTTGAGGCGCAAACTTCAATCCGATAACGTCGAACAGTATTCAAATATCGCTGATAATAATTGCTTCGTTATGTTTGATTTACAATGATAAAAATTGACACATTCGAACATATCACAGAATTCGGTATTCTTAATAATTGTGGGTAAAAAAAAGTTTTTTTCTTTCTTTTTCACAACTCGTCGTTTACGAAGATCCCTTTATTATAATAATCGATAGCGGCTTGTTAAATAACCGAGAATGCCAAAACCAGTTCCGCGACCTACTTGGGATATAACTCGATAAACTTACATTCGGGCACCGAATATTAAATGATCGAAGACATCATAGGTACTATTACGAGCGCGAATGTCTAACTCTTTCTTCTAATATCAGATCGGATTTAATTTGATTGACGAACCTCATCGGTATTTTCTTTTTTTTTTTTTCGAAAAAAAAATTAGATTAAGAAATTTACAATATCATGATTATATCTCCATTCTATTGGAAAATTCAGGATGGAAATATCATCAAACTTGAAAGTAATATCAAAAACGCATTTGCGTAAAGGAGCGTAAGTCATTAATAATCTCCGAGCTCCGACAATCCTGTCAATTTTTCCCCCTTGTTAATAAACTTGGTGTAATCTCATTTCTATTATTACAAATCCGATCACGAGAAAAGACGAAACGAGAAAAGGAGTCTATAGATGCGCGGCGATCAATGTCGAACCGGAATCGATGTGGTTGTAAAGCCAACCTTTT